TATCCATGAATTCTGAAGGATCTGTGTCCATGGGTTGTATCCATGAATTCTGAAGGATCTCTGTCCACAGACTGTATCCATGAATTCTGAAGGATCTGTGTCCATGGGTTATATCCATGAATTCTAAAGGATCCCTGCAGGACGTGGAGGGACGAGGGAAGGCGAGGCAGGAGCTGGATTAGTTATAAATCCCGCTGCAATCCCGAGTAGGGGATAAAACCCAGGGAAGTTCCGTCAGCAGGGAAAGAAAAACTGTCCTTGTGGGATCTTTGTGTCCGTAATTTGAAGGAAAATTCATCCATGTGGAATCTTTTGTGCCCGGGAATGTGGATACAAGCGAAGGGAGGAGGGATGAATCCAGGCGGGAAGAGGATCCAGGCTCTGGGATGCTGCCAGCTCAGACGTGGGATGCCGCCCTCTGACATCCAAATAAATTCCATCCAGGGGCTTTAAATGACTGATATCCAGCTGTTAAACTCCCTTTCTGGTGACTTGCTTCCAATTCCCACCTCTGCATCCTCGATTTTGTTTTAAAGGGGCGTTAAATCCCAGCGGAATCCGCAGATCCCGATGACGCCAAGGAAGTCGACACCCTTTTGGTGGAGGGGGACGGGATTTTCCCCTCATAAATCCCTTCCCCGGGCCAGGGAACGAGGCTGAAGAGCCTCAACAGCCTTTGGGTGCTGCTGCAATCCCGGAGGGGATTCCAGAGGGATCCCACCCGCTCCCTGGTGCTTCCATTGACAATTCCTTGCTGGATGCTGTGACACCGGGGGTGAGGAAACACCTCGGGGGGCAAAGACACCCCCGGGGGGGATCCAGGGAAGGGGATCTGAGGCGGGGGGGAATCCGGAGATCCACAGGAGATTTCGGGGGAGATCCAAGCAGGGGGAATCCAGGGGGAGACCTGATGAGGGGATCCCAGTGGGATCCGAGTGGGAAGATCCGGGAGGGGGGACCCATGAGGGGAGTGGGAGCTCCCTGAGGAGGGGACGGGTCTCCCTGAGGAGGAGACACGGGACCAAGCTGAGGAGGGAATGCGACCCCCTGAGGGGGACATGGGACCCCCCTGAAGAGGGTACAGGACTCTCGGGGTTCGCAACCAGCGGGACCGGGAAGGAGAGGGGGAAACTGAGGCGCACGCGGCGGGGGCGGGGCCGCGGCCGCCATTTTGTGTCGTCTTCAGAAATGGGACCGGCGCCATTTCCGCCCCCCCCGCGCTCCCCTCAGGGAACAGCCCCCCCCATAGCGCCCGTCCAACCAATCAGCGGCGCCCCGTCGCTGAGCGACGGGGCTCTCAGCCAATCAGCGGCGCAGGCCCTTCACGGGAGGCGGGCGCAGCGCTTCCCGCAACGGCTCGGCGCTCCCCCCCACCCGGTTCTCCAGCCGGTAACGGAGCCAGTACTGAGGCAGCGGCGGGACTGAGCCGCCATCACCCCGAGGGAGCGGCGGCGCCGCGGGGCCGCCCCGCACCTACCGCCGTATCCCGGCTCCATCGCCGCCTCCGCCTCCGCCCGGCGCCGCCGCACCGCTCGCCCGAGCGCCAACTGCGCACGCGCGCCGCGCCCGCCGCCCATTGGGCCCCTCAGCGGCGCGGGCCCGCCCACGAAGTTTCCCATTGGCGGAGCTCGCCCAGAGGCGCGGCCCGCCCGCCGCTCCCATTGGCCAACCCGGCGGCGCTCCCCTGATGCGATTGGTGGAAGTTCTTCCTCTCTGGGGGGCCGCCGGCGCGCCCACCTGTCAATCAGAGCCGTTCTCGCTCCTGATTGGGCTGCGGCGCGGGGCTCGCCCGGGGCCGGCGCTGAGGGGGAGGCGGGCGGCGCCATGGAGCCCCCGGGGCTGGGGCGGGAGGGACCCCAACCGGGACCCCACCGGGACCGAACTGACCCGAGGGATGGCTGTGAACCAGCCCCTCGCAGCCATGATGTCTCTGTCCCCTCATAGCAACTCTTTCCTCCGTCCCCTCACACTGACAATGTCCCTCCATCTCCTCACAGTGACAATGTCCCTCCATCTCCATCCCCTCACACTGACAATGTCCCTC